TGTTTATTGCCTTATTTACAGACGTAAGGATGGTTTTTCTTAGGAATCCAGACTTCAGTATAATAATCTATATTTCAAGTGCATGATGCTGTTAAGGATAAAACACTCAATTATGATAATATTCCGCCACAACACTTCACCCAGAACCTCCTCGTCGACATCCATCCCAGGTCCGCCATTTTCACCTCTTATACTGCCAATCCCTCTTCTCGGTAACCTACCTGCTGAGTGTGTTCAATGAACGTTGATAAAAACACTTACCGGGAAGATGTCGATTAGGATATCTTTAAGAGCAGAAAAATATTTTTCAGTTAAAATTATACATAATACTGGAAATTAAACCACTTTAAAGCATCTTTCTGGGCATAATGAAACAACTAACTCCAAAGGCACAAAAAATAGAAAACCAATAAACACTCAACGCGAAAATAACTATAAAACTCAAAATACAAGAAAGAAGAGCCACTTAACAACTACTGACTTTTAAAAATTACAAAATTAGGCACAATGTATCAAATCTGCTTCTTCTAGTGTTCATTTGAGTTTGTCAATCAAAATATTTTGATTATGATCTGCTGCAACATACTAATACTCAGTAATACTCCGGCACATCACACTCGGTTAGATCGAGACCATTTCAATTACAAAACTGCAGCATTCATAAAGGTAATTCCATTGCCACCCAGATCGTTGGACCTAAATCCACTAAACTTGTTTATTAGGGTTGCTTTATATACCAAGCTGTGCTGACCACAGTAACAGAATTTAGTTCCAAATTTGAGGTAACCTTGAGCATTCGAGCGGTTATTTTTTGTAAGTTAAAAAATGTTTTATGACAAAATGTAGGTCATGCATAACAGTAAATTGTCATTTAACATCAATCCCGTCTATTTAAACCAGTTTAAAAAAATGAATGCTGAAAATCTCAAAAACTATAAGACTTTAAATAAAACAAAATTTTACCATCTTTTAGGCCAAGGCGCGACCTATCTACAGTTGCAGGATTATCCTTCAATTTCAATGTTTACTCGACAAGTTGGACCATCGAGGAAATATCCCTGAGAGCTAAATTGGAAACCGAGTCGTTCGACCAGAACGCCGTTTCAACCAATAGCAATAGACCGTGTGGAGGGACACGACAACAATTGAATTTATAATAAGCCAGAACAGAACATGCCTGCCAGTTCACCTAAAGATACTTCATAAATCGAACCGTCATGTAACTCAAATTTAGGAAAATCCAAAAGAAAACGTTCGAAACATCCACCTTGTCTATAGACTTCAAAGGCCAAATCTGTCACCTCGATAAAACAGTATCGAGCTGGTTAAGCTACAAAGAAAAACGTAATTTTGCTCTTGCGTCAATTAGGCGTGAAAACGCGGATTACCTATCTTTCTTGCAAGTGCATCATATGTCGAAAGAACTTTGGAGAGCTTTAGATAACATAAATATCGGCGGCTTTACTTCAAAGACAAGAACTGAAAGTATTCCGTCTCACCTTAATGATCCAAACGCTATAAACGATTATTTTGCATCAGTGTTTCGTTGTGCTCAGTCCAACGAAGCAACATTCAATTTTTATCACAATAACTCGTTTGGCAATCGGAGATTTTCCTTCACTCTGGTTGAGCCTACTACTATCAAAACTCTTGTGAGTGGCCTTAAGTCAAATGCAAAGGGTATTGACGATATATCTCTTTTTATGATTAAGCTATCTCTCCGTATTATACTACCTTACGTGACCTATATTATCAATCTGGGTCTTGAGAAGGGCTACTTTCCTAAATCTTGGAGACGAGCAATAGTAAGGTCAGGAAGCCCACCGATTTCTCGGATCTTAGGCCCATCAGTCTTTTAAGTGTTTTCTCAAAGATCTTGGAGAAAATAATTTATTTGCAAATCTTAGATTTTTTAGAGTCAAGTGACATACTCCCAGTACATCAGTCTGGGTTTAGAAAATCATACAGTACTACAACTGCTGTCCTTAATTTAGTGGACAACATCATCAGGGCCCTTGATAAAAAAATGTGTGTCGCCTTAGTTTCACTGGATTTCTCCAAGGCCTTTGATAGAATTGATCACGCACTGATGTGTGCTAAGCTAAAATTTTGTGATGTTGATAAAATAGCACTGCAGTTTTTTAAATCATACCTAACTCGCCATTCTCAGCGCGTCTCACTTTCTGGAGTTTTGTCAAATGAGCACTTTATTACATCTGGTGTGCCTCAGGGCTCAATTTTAGGACCCTTGTTATTTTTTATTTATATAGCCGATATTGCTAAGTCCATTCAAAATTCACAGCTACAGTCTTATGCGGATGACGCTCAAATGCTTTACTTCTTTTATCCTGCGAACCTCCAGACTGCTACTATGGAAATTAACCAGGACATTGACTCTATTTGCACCTACTCAGCCAATAACAACCTAACCGTTAATGCTTCTAAATCTTCTGCTGTGCTGTTTTGTCCAAATCACAGAAGAGCCGAAGTCAAAGCTTCCTTGAGTATCAAAATCTTCCTTTTTCTGAAAGTGTCAAGTGTCTAGGTGTGTTTATTGATGAAAACGTGCGGCTTCGTGCACATTTAAATAACCTCTTACGAAGAAGTTAAATCCGTCTGAGAACTCTGTATGCGAACAAAAATTTGCTGAATTTTAAAGTGCGAAAAAGGTTGTGTGAATCTTTTGTGTTATCAATTTTTAATTATTGCAATCAGTTTATCACCCTTGTTTGGATGTTGCGAGTCGTAACAGAATATCTCTAGTACAAAATAACTGCGTACGATTTATATTTAGTTTAAGAAAATTTGATCATGTTTCGGATCGTTATCCTTTAATAGGTTGGTTAAAGATGACAGATTTAGTTAAATACAACTATCTAACCTAAGTTACTTGTCTCTGGAACTCCAATTTATTTACGTGAAAAGCTAATTTTTATCAACGACCTATCCGTAACACATTCGCTTTAACAATGCCCCTTCATAGTTCATCTCTTTTTAACAGTTCCTTCTCATATAATGCATGCATGTTGTACAATAGCTTAGATTACAGAACAAAAAGCCTGCCGCTGTATAGTTTTCAAAAACACTTAAAAGCTCTTCTGCGCAATGGTGCTTATTAAAGGTGTTTTTCTTCAGCATTATATTTTTAAGCTAACTTTTGTTTAGGTTGTGATCAGTTATATGGGCATTTTCCTCGTTTTATTTTCTTTACAGCTGTACTTTTTTACCACCTATGATTTTTATGCAGTAAATGGTTAAGTGTAAGAATAGCTGTCACACCTAAACTTCGCCATTAAGCTGCTCACTAATCTAATTATAGATAATATGCATTATCTGTAATTTGTTTTTTTTTCCTATAAAAAACGGTTTATTATTATTATTATTATTATATTGTTACTGTGAAATAAGCAAATTCAAATCGAATAAAAAAGCATTCTCTTATTGTTTTTTCGAATCTTCTTATTTATGGATTTGAGTATTTCAGAGTGACAATGACACATTTTGAGTCTTGATGCTATGACACTAGTGTTGCAACTCGGTCGGCGATCGTGGTTTTCTGTCGGTGTTTCCGCGCGAATCAACATCTTTATTCTTCCGAGGCTAATAACTGCTTCGATCTGAGGTTCCCTAATCAGTTTAACCCATTAACGCCCAAATTAAGTTTGAACATGGAAAACGGATATTACGTATATAAGTTAGGTTATTAGGACTAAAATAAAAACTGAAGATCATAAAACTATATATATTTTATTATTTTTTCAGAAAAAATATCTGTACTCATTTGAGTACTATGGGCGAAACCGTTTATTTTGTATGATGTAACTTGAAATATGCACGTTCAATACATAGTGTTGACAAACCCTTGAATGGCATACTGCACATCGTAATTGCTTCTCTAGCTCCGCAGGGAAATGTCCGAATTTATGAAGGTTTTCATTTCTTCTTTGGTGGTGATGAAATTGTGCCGATTATTTTGAGATGCATAGATATATGATCGACAATATGTTGCAAAACCGTATCATCAAAGAAAAGTTCAAATAGTTTAGGATTCAAATCCTTTATCTCTTCCGCTAGTTTATCCCTATTGGCATTCGTTTCACATAACGGTGGCGGCTCAGACCAAATGGAATATTTAGGATTGCATTTATCCCAGTCCAAGTCATCGCGTTCAGATTCATTTATTTTTATACGTTTCCGCACTTCACTCAAGGCTCTTCGTCGCTGTTGTAGAACTCGTCATTAGCTGAACTTTGGCGAAACAGCTATAAACGACCAGAAAGATCTTGTGGCATTCCATTTGCAATCAGTTGGTTTTCGTCCAATTCCTCCTCGTCAGTGAAATAATGTGCGTCTGGAGGCTAAGACCACAATATCATCGTTATATTTTAGATCATCTAGAGCATCAGGCAAAAAATTGTAATACCCGTATATTTTAACAAGATCATCAAAAAACGGTTTACACATATCTAAAACAAAAAAAATAGCATTAGTCGAATGATAACGAATTTGCCCAGTGTACTCATTTGAGTACAGTCAAACTTGAACGTACATTCTAATTGCATCAAATCAGTTAAAATAATTTATGCCCGGCAAATCAATCAAACAACCTTTACATATACATAATATAAAAAGTTTAGCTTATTAGATGGTCACCTCAATGAAAATAAAAATATGTGGAAGCCGAACTTACCTTAGATCAAATAAGCAATAACTTCTAATACTGTAAAAACAACGTCACACTCACAGAATTTATGAAAAATGGCTCTTGCGCCCTGTCGCATGTACCATCTACAAATGTTTATAAAAGGTAGTATTTCTGTGGGTGACCCAGGGATGGCTCTGATAGGAACAAACACGAGTGTACTCGCTTGAGCACAGCGGGTGTTAATGGGTTAAGTTAGATTAATATTCACAGTTTTTATACTGACATTTTTTCCTTCATTCACCTGATTTTAATGTTTGGTGTTTGCCACATGACTTGCAAATTTTTAATATCGTAGGATATGTCCAGACTGTATCTGCGTGATCCTACTTTGTCATCCGTATTGAACAGCAGTCAGTCAGAAGATCAGAAAGAAGCTTATTTTCTTCAAGAACAAACTGAACTGAATTTGCTGCTGATAGGTGAGTAATAGAAAACTAGACAAAATATCCAGTTTACAAAATATTGTGTATAGTCTTAAGTGCCGGCGACATAAAAACCTAGAGCATCTGTTAGATAGGCGGCCAAATAAGTGCATTTTCCAGGGGATAGCGAACGGCGCCTGCATTTTTGTAAGTGGTACACACGAACGTGTGAAGATTTTAATTTCCGGTCAAACCTATAGGGTCACTATAGTCAACGCCAAACAAAGTGGCGTGCACGTCATCAAGGTGGGTGTGTTGAAAAATTTACATTGTTGCCAAACTTTTTGTAAAATAATAAAATTTATTATTTACATATCTAGGTTTATAAGCAATATTAACCTCAAATGAGAACAAAAATAATAGTATAATAAAATTATAGATCTGTACTTGCATAATCATTAAGTATGACAATTATTGATCAGATGACACTATGAAACTACCATATTTAATTGATAGCTTAAAGGTACTGAATAAAAATCCAAATGGGGTCCTCCAAATTTTATGCATGGTATTTATTTTACAGAATTCATACAGAAAAATGCATTCTAAAATTAGGTAAGCTACTGGTGTAAGCTTTTTCTGTACAATAAAGTTAGTCGGAGTTTCTTTCTTCAGCGCTGTCTGAATCTGAATCTTCATCACTCTCAAAGTTGATTATTAAAGGTTCGATGTCTGGTCGATCAAAAATTCGTTCTCTTTCATACCATTTAAAAATTTCTTGCTCAGTATGTCGAACACTATTTTTCCACATGTCTGGGGTAACCGTTTGTAGAGCCTCGTTCCACATATCCAAACAGTCTTTTTCACTGTTACCATCTCTACCAATATGTCTGTTATAGTAACCTTTTGCTATGCCCCAAATTAACTCAATAGGGTTAAATATACAATGGTAAGGAGGCAGACGAAGAACTTTGTGCCCATGTTGTTCCGCCAATTCATCAATCACGTATATTTTAGGTGGTTTGTTTCTAAAAAAGCAGTTATTTTAAGAATAGGAATAAACAAAAGAAATATAAACTGTCGACCAAAATATATATAATTAAGAAGCATTATGTACCGAGCAACAATACTCAATAGCTCTGTTTTAAACATTGTGTTTAAAAATGGTATGTTTTGATTTGTCAACCAGTCTTGGATATTTTTTTTGTCCATGCATTGTTGGGCACTTTGTTCAATATCATGCTGTGATAAGGGGCGTTATCCAGTATAATCATAGATGGACTCTCCAATTTTTCTAATAACTGATGTTGAAACCATTTCAAAAAATTGTCCTGGTTCATCTCTCCATGGTAATCGCTCAATTTTGTTTTCGAAGAAAATATCGCTTCACTACCCTCAATAAACCCATTTTCATTTCCAGCATGTAATATAATGTATCTAAAATATATTAGTTTTAAATTTTATAGTGCAAATTGTGTAAAATTACATACCTTTTACCATCTGTTTTAATAGCTTTCACGCTTTTTTGGTTTCCATTTTGCCAAGAGCGACCTATGGTCCCATTTTGAAATATCCAAGTTTCATCGAGGAAGACAAACTGGTATAAGGCCTCAACCTTGGCTTGATTGTATTGCCTTAGAAATTCCACCCTTTTCAAAGCTATACTTGGTAGTTCCATGAGCCCTCGTCGCGGATTGTCCTTAAGCCACTTAAATCCAAGATCTCTAAGCAACCGCCTTAAAGACGTGGCACTACCATCAAATAATGCCCTATCTCTTAATCGAGACCATAAAGTTTGTATCGTAACTTGTTCTTCTGAAACCATGTGTAATATGACATTATAATTTAGTTAACAAATTAATGCAAATTTCTGATAAGTTATTATAATAAGATCTTACTTTTGTGATACATATTATAGATCACTTCTCGAATGGCACTTGTATCCAATGTCGCTGTGTTGGTTACACGTTTAATATAACTCCGCTTTTTCTTGGGCGATTCTAAATTTGCATCACTTTTCACACCCTCGGAAATACGACTAACTGTCCTTAAACTAATTTTTAAAGCAGCAGCAACACGCTACAAAAAATGAAATAAAATTTCACTATTATTAATATACATTACATATAATTATTAGTAACCTACCTCTTGAACAGCATTTAAAGGCAACAAAGGCCCGTTGTTGTCCCTTTCTTGCTCAAAGTAGTGCATTAACGAGGCCACGAGTTCCTTACACCGACTATTTAACTGTTTGGGCATCTTTATATACCAAAATTGCCTTTATCTATTCGTAAAATGAATAATTTTGTATTGAAACAAACAGTTGTTGATTTACAGTATGCGGGGCCAAAGGATTTATAAAGATTGGAAATGCCACAAATTGATTCAGTGTCAAAATTAATACAAATGCCAGTTCCCAGTTTAAATAAGTTTCAAGGTGACAATGTGTCAACGCTGCGAAATCGGTTTAGTGCGTTTACATGTCGATAAGTGATTGGAGCGTTTGCAAAACATTTTATTTCGCATAATGCGTCTAAATTTATCAGAAAGCAACTTATGTGATATTTTAATAACAATGTTTATATGACTATTAACCATAATAAGAGAGTAATGACCATTTTACAATTTATATATCACATTAATATGAAACTGCAATAGAGCAATTGTTTGTGATAGAAACCTAGGCATTAGGTCGGGGAATTTTTATCGTGATGACGTGCACGCCACTTTGTTTGGCGTTGACTATAGTAATGGTATATTTAATCGCCGCAACGCTCATTACTGGGCTGAAGAAAATCTGCGGGCCAAAAATGTATCCATCGATTGTATAATATCATCAGACTTGGAGCCGTATCGTCAGTCGTTCCTAGAATTGTAGGACGCCTTTATGGCCTCCTTGATTTCCATAATATCTTGTCTACTTCAATTAGGTACTTGTGTGACTGCTTGAGATTTCTAATGAGCCGACAATTCTGATGATAGGTTATGTTTTATTTTGCCGTTTAAGAAATCTTAGACAGATGAATCATATTTTCTTGCAAATATTGTTGATCAGTCAATAATAATTCGCTACATTGAACAAATTCCTCAAGCTGTGGTTCAAATCCCATATCAGGTATTAATGATCTGAAAATGAACAATTTAATGCAAATATGTGTATTTATATATGAAAGCCCAACAGCTTACAACCAAGTTGTTGCCTGGTGGTAGGTAAGTTATACAATTAATCGTTGCATATTCATATTTATATTCTTATCGCATTTTTTTCAGATGTGATTCATTCTCACAGACTATATGAAATGTTGGATAAGAAACATTGTATCCCAAGTGCAACTGTATTGTTGATGTCGGAGATGCCGATCACATATCATTGTTGGACTTTGGATTATGTAGTGTGTAGCGATTCGTATGTATAAAAAATATAAACGTGATCTCCTGCCCTATCTGATATTTTTTTTATATTAGTGGGCACCTTAACCAAAAAATTTGAGGCTATAACTCTAAAAATTATGATTATAAGTTGCAGCCCACACTAAGTTGTAAAATTTTTAATTTTTCTTGAATTAATGCATATTTTTTGCAGATATAAACCATCCTGATGTTGCATACAAAATTCAGTATTCCATTTCTATTTTGGAAGGATAAAGAGGTGAATGATCTTCCTAAGAAGGGATTTATGCATTTAGGCACTTGAAACCATATTTGAAGGAGCCAGTGTTATAGAAACAAAACGTGAATTTGCTTTTTGTGGCTGATATGTGCTACACTGCAATTTGTAAATTAAAGGTTGGCATAAGACTGGATAATCATAAAAGTTGAAAGCTACCAAGTTGAAGGGGAGCTATGTTAGGCCTGGACAGGGGGTTCTCAAATGGCGAATGGTTAATGTTGCATGTGAGATAGTTAAAATTTCACACGAAACTCAATAAAGTGGCTTCTTGAATATTGTAATCGACATTTCTATTTGACAAAATCTCACAAAGCTGATGCCATGGGTTTGAGATTGAATACTGAATAAGTGCAGCACAGTGGCAAATGATGACAATCACAAAAATAAAATTCCAGTGATGTAGCAAAAAGGCTATATGAAACACATAGTTTCACACTTATGGTTATATCGGTACTTAGGGCTAAAATGTAAGAAATCACCATTACCTTTAATGGTATTTTATCAGATCTACTTGCATTGCTCAAGGATACATCCGATCCTGACAAGCCCAGGGTACAAGAGAATAATTCCAGTGTAAGAAACGTTATTGGAGGAAAAAGAAGAGCTGGCACATTTAAATTGGATATTTCAACAAGTTTGCTGTTGATTCACATTAACTTCTAAAGATGATCTAAAGCACCCTGAAAGTTTGTAATTGATTAGATATCTTTTTAGCCCTGTTTGCAGAGCTTGTAATTTTGAAAATAGCATACAATCTAGTTAACATCAAAACATATTTGTTTTAAGAGAAATCAAGGATTACAAATTAATGATATCGATATTTCTAGATATTTTTGAAGGAACCTATTGTATTTCTGTGAGTGTACAATGGAGAATAAAAAATATTTATTTTACCAAGTATTCTTTTCATTCTGTATATATTCTGCAAATACTTACGAACTGAAACATATAATACATGAAATTGTTAAGGAATTCACAGATAGTATGTCAAAACACATAAGTGTCAGTAATCAAATGAAGCCTTTATATCTGAAAGGTACAACTAATAACAGGAAATATGAACAAATATATTGCTAAAAACATATCCAAAATAAAAACCACATTAATGTATTACAATATCCTTTAATAATATTTTAGATTTACTTATGTAAAATATATAGGGTGTTTACCAACTAAATGTCAGTATTTAAGGGGGCGACTTTGGGTTCCATTTTAGAAGAAAACTTCATATAATCGTAGGTCCTAAATGTCTTTTCTTTTGAGAAACAGGGTAAACTTTTTAAAAATCAATAATATTTTGTTAAGATCCGTAATACGACTTTAAATACCTAATTAAAATTCGGCGTATAAGTATGTATAGTATAATTTTCTTTTCATTTCCACCAGCGACTTAGGTACCGATTTCACTTGCCTATTTTGGCAGACAATTGGTTTGGTCGTACAGCCTGTTTGCTGACAATGAGCAAACTGAGTCACGACCTAGTTTGCGCAGTTAGCTGTCACTGACACGTCGCTGACTGTATTAATTGCGTACATAAGAACGTTGCGAGTTGGCTGAGGGAGGTCAGACCGATTACAGACAACTAATCCGCTGTTCGTACAGAAACTTCTGACTGTTTGGTGACTGTCAAATCAGTCAGCAGATAATTTTCCAGTAAATTGTCAGAGCTCGAAATCAAGTACAATAATTATTCGAATGTAAAAATTTTTTAGAAACAAGTAGACAATTTTGAAAAAGTTGGGGGTTAATTTGCTGTAAACCAGAATGATCTAGGATTTTTCGTCCAACTGTCCAAATGTGCCCGAATTTTTCTTTAGAGAGGAAAACATGGACACCTTCTAGAAAAAATAACAGCACCCAAAAATGGCAAGTAGATTTACTCAGTAATTACCATTCAATTATCATATATAAAGTATAAACATGAATTCGAAGAACTATGTTTCCACACATCGAATGACAAGTTGAAGAAGTAAATACATAGTAAGAATTCTGAATAAACGTCTGCAATGATTATGCATGAGAAATGTACAAAGTATTGTGAGTGACTTTTAATAAAACTCGGATAGTAGGGTTTTTGTTCCCTGTTCCTTTGTCGCCCAGCCTCGAAGTGTATTCACAAACAGTATTTATATATTCTAGCGATGTAAGTCCAACCCAAATCTGATGAAAAAAGAAACAAAATATCGAATTCTGGAGATTTTGTGATACAGCTTTTTCTCAAGGAGAGGGAGTGACTGTTTGTGCTGGGGTGAAAATAATATTTTCCCTATACAGGGTATTTTAAATTCGACTCTCACCATTGGGATCTCGGAAACTTCAAGGAATACGAAGTCACTTAAATAGGGGCATAGTTGCTTATTCAGATAATCAGCAAAATATCGCTTAGACAGTTTTGAAATTGAAAGTACTTCCGGAAAGAGACGTAAAAAACGAAATTTCTCAAAATGGTTTTAATTAAAGTGACACTTTCAAAATTCACAGTACTTCCGTAAAGTAACTGAAAAACTGAATTTTCCTAAAATTGTTCTGATTTTTTCCTGACTTTATTTGTGGTGGGATTTCAAAATAAAATGCTCATGAACGCTGCCACATTTTCTCCTCTACAAGGCGGCACAATTAGAATTTCAATATGACGTTTCGTCTCTTGCCCTCCAGCATCCACTGAATTTATTCTGATAGACGCCATATTGGATTCTTACACACATGAATAACATTTTTATACTGATTAAAAAATGTATGTCATACATTGACATTGCAAAACCTTAGTTATTCCAGAAGTTCCTAGGTAGGCCTTGAAATTATTAGATTTCATTTGTTTGTATAGCAACAGAGTTTGGACGACTCTGAATACCTCTGCCTATTTATGGTTATTATTGTTATTACCATCAATAAAATTTTCACTTCGTATTCAGGTTTCACCAAATCTTTTTATTTCTTTTTAATTTTCATCCAACAATAAACTTATGGTCAACTAACAATCACTGAATTTAGGGCTTAAAAAGTCCATTTAAATGTACAAAATTCCAATATAGTGTCCGTATGAAAAAACAAATTTGATGATGGAAGTCGAAAGAAGAAATGTCGAATTGAAAATTTGACTACGCCATCTTGCAGACGAGAATAAGTAACAATGACAATATGCGATTTATTTTGAAATCCCATCTCGAATTGAGTTGGGAAAAAATAGAGCGGTTTTGGGATAAATCTGGTGATCGAAAACAAACATCTGACAATTTCAAGGCCTAGCTAAGAAATTCTGTATTTTCCTAAAGTAATCAAGGTTTGACAACGTCATTGTATGACGTATTATGCATTTTTTTGAATCAAAATTAAAAACTCTATTCATCTGTGCAAAAATGCAATATAGCGTCCTTAAGAAATAATAAAGTTGATGCTGGAGGACAAGAGACGAACCGTCATATAGAAACTCTGATTATGCCTTTTTGTAGAGGAGAAAACGTGGCACTGTTAAAGTGCAATTTATTTTAAAATCCCAATATAAATAAAGTCAGGAAAAAAATCAGAACAATTTTAGGAAAATTCAGTTTTTCAGTTTTTACGGAAGTACTGTGAATTTTGAAAGTGTCACTTTGTTGACTACCCCATTTAAGCGACTTCGAATCCCTTACAGTTTCCAAGATCCCAATGGTGAGGGTCAAATTAGAAACACCCTGTATATGCAGGCTCTTACTAGAAGAAAGAAGTGAAAATACTACAAGGATAAAATAAAGGGTGTTATACACTAAAAAGCTAAAATGGCTGAACATAACTACAATTATCAAGATCTGCTTACATAGTTATGTTTCACAGAATTCTCAACATGGACAAAAAGAACTGATACTACGAAAATACATAGAAGTAAGACTTAAATAGCGTAATTACGCATTTTGCAACTGTAACAAAAATTTTCAAAAAATTAGTGATCACAAAAATCGTATTAATTATGGTTCTTGAAAATTATGTCCTCTATTGTTCGGATTTTTCATACTGTATTCATAATCTTTATTTTGCCATTACCGGGACAATAAACAAAATATTGAGCACAAAGCACTTTGGCGCTGGCTGATATTTAAAATGGAATTTCATTAAACTTTCTTCTGCCACTTGCTCACCTGAAAATGTTACAAAACTTGTTTCTGTTGAATTGTGGCCGTTTTCTCTAAAAAATTAAGGTTTTTGGGTTTCATTTCTTTTACACCGAAGCAGCCGCGCAGGTGAACCCTACATGCCAAGGCACTGCGGCTGCTTTCAGGAGCTTAAAGAAACTTTGTTATTCCCATTTTTGAACTGCCTAAAGTTAGTAAAACCGGGAAAATCCCCTCATGTATTGTTACTCGATCTCGACACCCTTGGGACAAAGGAGCGGTCTTATCGGCCAGTTCTGGATGTACGAAGTTCGACACGCTTACGATGGGAGGCCGAAGTCAGGTAGGCACGTTGCGGGGCGGCACCATGGAAGAGAGCTCTGAGGAGCAAAGCCCGTCCCGTCGGTGTCACCAGACCGTCCAGTAGAAAAGAGTAATGGATCATTAAATGCCTCTTGCGGAGCAGTTTTAGTCCTCAAGATAGTTTCGACATACTGTGATACCTGTCACTGTCACTGGTTGACTGGTGTCCTATGATCTCTCAGAAAGTTCTGTACGAACAGCTGTCGGCGAACAGTCAGAAACTGTACGAACAGTTAACATCTCTCTGATTCTGATTTTGACAGTCACCGACAAGTTACCGACTACTGTACGAACAAACCATATGATAGTACGCAACTGATTTCTCTTAAAATAAAAACTACTCTTGAAATCCTCAGTAATTTCTAAGCAAATTTGATTGCTTAATTTTTCTCACTCGTATGCACGGTATTCGCTTAAAAAATAAAATAACGTTGCTTTGCGTGATCCTAACATCGTTAGTGTACCACATTGTCACTATGTCGAAAAATATCTTGTATTTTTTAGATGAAAACCATGCGCCAGACTAAAAAATTCAATAATTCAATTTTTTATGTCCGACCCACGATATCTCTGCATGGTGATACTGTCATTTTAACGATATTGTTATGATCCAAGAAAAAAACAGTTTATATTTTTATGAAAACCGTGCATCAGATTGAAAAAAATTCAAGTGATTTTTGCTTAGAAGTGATTGGGGTAGCAAATGGTATATTTTGAACTTTTACGTTGCGTATATATATCAAGTCCAGAGAAATGATCTAAAGCTCATTTTTTGTTCAGAATGACCTAAAAACCGCAAAATACTTTAAACAAAGCGAACAAATCAATTTTTGGAGCAATTTTAGGCCTAGTCACATGCAGATTCTCGAATCAGATTATGCAAAAATCGGAATCGGAAAATTTTTCCCAGCAGATGTTCCGATATTATCTGGACTCTTATCCGAGTTCGGTGACTGATTGCCAGTGCATTGGCGCAAGCGTGTGGGGAGGGGGGAAGGTATATAAAATGTTTGCTTTTTCCAGAAATCCTCACAGTGTCAGTACACACAGGTATTTCGATCGTGATTTGTTTTTTTTTTTGTATATATATGGGGCACAATGGGAGGGACATCACAGTAAAACACTGTATTATTACAGGAACAAAAGAAGGCATGGTTCACGTGCGAATTTTTGGCTGCTTTACATGCTGCATTTTGGATATGTGTGAATACTTAGGAATATCTTGTTCCGTTGAGGCGCTGAGGGTCAGCGAAGATTTGAGAAGAATTTATGTGGTTACCAAGGATGAAAATTCACTCGTACAGATTGTTACTGTCAATTCTTCTATATTCAAGACTCACGCTAAAGAGCTATTTGCTGTTGCCATGAAATATGTTAAGCTTGTTAGTATTTAGTCTGTTCGTGTGATTTATATACAAAAATTACAGAGTTGGGAGTTGATACAGATTGTGTGGCTACTGTAAATGTAGTATACCGGGTGCGCCATCTTTTATGTCGGTATTGAAACATCTAATGACTTTGGTATTTACCAACCGGGTGATTTGGTTATACGTGTTTCTGAAACGACAATTTACTACAATTTCAGTCATGAATCGCTTTACACCGAAACAACGCGCCGAAATAGTCACAATGTATATTGAAAATCCTCGTTCAGTTGTGTTTACGCAACGTGCATATCGTCGAAAATATCGTGGAAAACAGGCAACGTCTGACAACACTATCCGTCGTTTGGTTTCGAATTTTTTTGAGTATGGGACAGTGGGAGATCGTCAACATACTGTTAATCAACGACCAAGACGTTCCAATGAATTGGTTGAAGCGGTCAGAGACAGCGTTGCTCAGAACCCAAAAGTGTCGTATCGTCACCGCGCTCAGCATTTTGGCATCAGTGGAACCACGTTGCGGCGCACGTCTCTTGGAATACGCCCAAACAGTCGCTCGCATGGTTGATGCTGAACCTGATTTTTGGAAGCAAATCGTGATGACCGACGAGGCCCATTTCAAGCTCTCTGGCGGCGTTAATAAGCAAAACTGCCGCATTTGGGGGACGGAAAATCCACATGAGATCCATGAAATGCCGTTGCATGACCGGAAAGTGACTGTTTGGGCCGGCGTTTGCGCCAAAACCATCATTGGGCCATTTTTCTTCAACGAATGGAAATCGATATCGGTGGCTCATTATGTCTGCCCACAAATGCATGAAAAAGGTCTTGATGGTCAACAAGACGGTGCGCCATGCCACACTGCAAATGAAAATCCAGTTTCTGCAACGAAAATTCCCTGGATGACTGATGTCAAAAAGAGGTGACATTGACTGGCCATCCAGGTCTCCAGATTTGACCCCAGCGGACTTCTTGTGGGGTTATTTGAAAAGTCAAGTGTACGCCAGCAAGCCCCACTGAAGAACTCAAGACAAACATTCGTACCGCAATCGCCGCTATACCACCAGACACGTTCGAAAAAGTAATGGAAAAGGCAGCAAAACGGGCACATTTAGTTTTGGCCAATGAAGGCGGCCACTTGATAGATGTTGTGTTTAAATACGAGTCCCAATAAATTGTAAAGGACCATATTTAATAAAAATACCCAATATATAGAAATCTGTTTTTCGTTTTCAAAGTTATTTCATGTTTACATACCGATATAAAAGATGGCGTACCCTGTAGAATTTTGTTTTATCATACGTTGTTTACAAGTTCGTATCAAAACAGGTTACTTCAAACCGATATAATAAATTCGCATGATTGAATATTCAAACCTTACTAACATTGCCTTGTGACTTTTAATGACATCATAGATTAAAAGTTAAATTTTTCGCTCGATTCAGTTTTGCGGATTGGAGCTAAACCAATTCGTGAAATTCACTGATATATTAATTTGTTCACAATGGCTTCAAATACAGGATATACAAGGCAATTTAAAAAACATCTCTATAAACATAGGTCCAAAAATGTCCCATTACCAAGATACAGTGTGTTGAAAATTTCTAGGCCACTGCTAAATAAATGGTACATCTACATTAAAAAACTCATTGATGAAAGAAAAATCCAGTAAGTATCGTGTACTTAAGTAATCTGTTAAATAATTGTATACAAGAGGCTCTCTGGGGTTTCTGTTAAAAAGTGCTAACGATTGGAGACTTTTCATATGCTCTGGTAATTTATTATACAACCTGGGTAACATAATTGGGAGACTTTAACGACAGCCTATAAGTTACAGTAGTTAGCTGGAATGATGGTCTCAAATGCTGGGTACCAGCAGATTTTTTTGGAGGCTAGAGCATCTAAAACTTTCTTTGACATGGACAACACAGTTATAAACATACAATGAGTGTAGAATCATTATTTTCAATTTTTTGAACAGATCAACCAAGGATAAATAAAATGGTGCTAATAATTTTCTTTTGAAGAATAAATACCTTCCTCACTACAACTGTTACCTCAATAGATGATTCTATAATTTAGAGCAGAGTATACATGCTCAAGATAACAGCATTTATTTACGATTACGTTAACATGCTCCTTGCATGATAAATTCTCGCCTAAATGTATGCCAAGCAATTGGACAGAAGCTGTCTGCATGCTGTGATCATTACATCTTACTTAAATACATTAATCGTCTTTATGCGTGTTAAATAGGGCCATATTTGTTTAGCTGCTCTTCAAGGCTAGACCGTTAGCAGAAGAGTAAGGCATCATTTTAATACAAACTTCAGAAACTGTTTGACTTAAATTTGAGATACTATTAGAGTTTAGTGTTTCTATTGTATCATCTGCACAATTTCCTTCGTGTTACAGTTATTCAAAAATATGTCGTTGGTAAATAGAATGAATCAAACATTACCTAAAGTTCTGCCCTGGGGTACCCCTAAATCAATTTTAATTGAAACTAGAAATCCAAGCTCGGTTTTAATAGGAAAAGTTTGCGTCCTTTGATCTAAGTACTACTCAAGCCAATCATAATTGAATAGTTTGTCTATTGTCTAAGTATACAAGAAAGATATTCAACCAAAACAGTGATCATCGCGTGATCTCCACATTGATATATTCCAAGAGACGGATAGCATAGCTGATATTGACCAAAATCGGTCGAGCCCATACATAACCAATCTGAAACCAGGAGGTGGAGTGGGGGTCGACACGGGAGTGTGTACTGCCTCGGCGGTCGTTAGTGTTATATACACTGACACGCAAAATTAACCGGACAAACAAAATTTTGATCAAATTAAATTTTAAATAACTTTTTAACCTTTGCATCAATTTCGGTATTTTTTTCGTATAGTGGTTGGCAATTTCATTGCCATCATTATCGATTGTCAATCTTGCAAAAAAAATTGAAAATGTTTGTTGTTATACAGGGTGTAACTAAAAGGTGCATTTTGCCCTAAATTTCTGAACACCCTGTGGAAACATTGGATTACTGAATAATGTGTCTTCGTATGAGAATTTTAAGCCACACTTTTCCCAACAGTTATTTTTTTCACTCATGTCAATATCTCAATTATTGAAGAATATATGCTGTTTTGAAAAAATCATGCGAATCATAGCCATAAACAAGAAATTGTTTCAAGCAGGCTTTGCCGGGTAAGAAATTGTTTTAAGTAGGCTGTGTCTGTTTAGATTTACAAGATGATGATGATCGTCCTATTCGGTATATCGCTTGCCGTTCCACGCAGTACGGTATTCGTTGCGATGCAAAGATTTAGAGAAACTGGTTCTTACTCAAGAAGACCTGGGCAGGGAAGACGGAAAGCAACAAACGCAGTTGAAGATCGGTTTCTGAGACTTCAAGCTCTTCGAGAAAGGACAGTTCCTGCTACAGCTGTCTCGAAGATTGGATGATGTTCATCGTGCCATACTTTCACCTGATACCGAGGTTGAGAGAAGGAAACCTATTATCTTGTGTACCTGCTACAGGTCCTCTATTGGATGTAGGTCATTGAAACAAGCGCTTGGTATTTTCTCGAACTCATGCAGATTGGCATATGGACGACTGGAAAAACGTACAGACGATCTCGTTTTACGAGATATTCACCTGATAGTCGCCAAAGAGTGTGGAGAAGATGTGAAGAACGCTATGCTCAAAGTTGTTACGCTCCTAGACTGCAATTTGGTGGTGGAGGAGTGATGGTATGGGGCGGTATTTCTTTGGAATCCCGCACAGATACATATATATATATATATATATATGCAGTAGTTATTGCCAACTCAATTTATGCCAATTAATAACTAATTGTATATATTTACGGGGTGGCCCATCCATGTGTGGACAGAATATTATTCATAAACAAATACATTTTAGGAAAATCTATTGATGGGATGTTATACATGACATTTGAGGGCACATTTCTAAAATATTGGCCATTATATATATATATATACAGGGTGACTTTGAAGTTGAGTCATTAATTTTCAGATAATGATTGTAGAAGGAAGATAAACCAGAATATGTGTGTAAAAATAAAAAAAAATTAAAAAAAAATGTTTACCTTGTTTTATAAAGTATCCTCCCGACAAGTATTTCAGTGCGGACCTGTATTTGATCGTGAGGTCCCCTGTGAGGTCTTCAAGTCACCTGATTCACGAGCCCGTTGTACTACATTAACAAAGGCACGAGGGGTTGGTTGCACTCGATTGGGAAACCGATCCGCATAAACATGTGCCATTTTTTATTTCGTTTGAGCCACGCAACAGACACTATTCACACGCTAACCGACTGTATGTATAACTGAACTGAATAAAATACTTAATTGCAAAAACGTCGTTCCAAATTCTTTCGCTTTTTTGTTTCCGATGCGATGAACCGGTAAGGCGGATTATATCCGTTGTTGCCAAACACGAGTACATGATATTATTATTGAGACAGGGCGGTACTCAAACTTCCAAAGGGCTATAACTTTGTTACTTTAATTTTACCAGAAAAATGTTAAAGGAAAAAAACATTTCTTTTGATCAGATCTACTCACTGTTAAAATAAATGACTCAACTTCGAAGTCACCCTGTATATATATAACTTGAGACGTGGTCATTGTCGTCTAGACCAGTTAGGTGAAAAATTAATGCTTCCGCCTATTGTTGGGTACTTCGACAAAATTTAAGCAAAGAGGACTCTTTATACCTTTTTTAATTCTCTCTAGCTTTCAATGGACTTTGCCATCATCATCAGGAGAGTAGTATGTGAGGATGTTGCTAATTGTTGTTTACGTATAGGATGAGGGAAACGTCCAGTAACATGGTGAGAGCTGGATAGATTGTACAATGGTCAAAATTATATAAAATATGACAAGAACAAGTTAAAAACAGAATAAAAATTATTTAAAAAAACATTACAGCATTACATCGTGAAGCCACTTGATGATTGCACAAATTGAGAATTTGTAATTTCATTGGTAGTCTCCCGTTTTCTTGGATTCAAATGCCCATAAAGCATCGGGCACAAAGCCGTCTTCATTAGCGATATAACAATGTTTTTTTTTAAACACTCAAAAACCGTCGCCAATTAATTCATTATTGTTACGTCTTATTAAAAGCTCAACAAATTGATATATTACTTGATTCCTTATCTGAATTCATTTTAGGCAGAATAAAAACATGCATGTACAAAAACAAAAGGTAACTTCATTTAAAATTCTTTGATTTACAAGTAGTAGAATATATCTAGGTGTCAGAGCAATCACACCAAAAATACCTAGTAGTTTTTAAATACTACCTGAGGGGTTGTTTAATCCAGTTGACAGGCCATTTATGAAAGCTTACCTTGAGGAATTAATAGAAGAATCCATCCCTCTGTATGCCCAGCGTTGATCCATATTTCCTCTAGAAAGTACCTATATTTCTTCTTTTTCTAATAATAAGTTGTTTCTGTCACTTTTTGTACTGAAATCCCATTTATTTTAGTAAATTATGGAAGGTAGATCTTTTGAAATCCTTATCGTCATTAACGACCTTCAGTAATTTATCCACTGTAGGTGATTCATTTCGAAAAAAAAAATTGTGCACAATTCTTCTTATGGTGGTTCTGTCGAAGTTATCTATCCCATCGTTTATACTCCCGAATAATTTGGTCGCCCAAAATACTTGCTACTATGCAAACACTTTCCTCAACACTTAAATCGATCTTTCTTTCATTTCGTGTGTATAAATGTTGAGAATAATTTGATTTTCGCTAATGCTAAAATGAAGCTTTTTAGCTCTGTTTTTATGCGGTGTGTACAACAACTTCATCAGCTATGTCCGTATCAGACATTTTGAACGTGACGAAATTAAACAACCGAGAAATCTAAATCAGCTCACAATAGTTTGTTGATGTTAGCTACACACCACATAAAAAGAGATCTAAAAAGCTTCATTTTATCATTATCGAAAATCAAATTATTTTCAACATTTATAAACACTAAATGCAGAAAAGAACGATTTAAGTGTTGAGGAAAGTGTTTGCATAGTAGGAAGTATTTCGGGCGTCAGTCGTTCTAGTGTTTACCGAATCGTTCGGGAGAATAGAGCTAACCATTCACTGGCCGACTCATAAAAGTACTAGGCAAAAAAGAAATGGGATTTCAGTACAAACACAGGGAAGAAACAACTTATTATTAGAAGAAGAAATATAGGTACTTTCTAGATGAAATATGGGTCAACGCTGGGCATACAGAGGCGAAAGTTGGATAAATTCTTCTATAAATTTCTCAAGGTAAGCTTTCATAAATGGCCTGTCACCTGGATTAAAAAACTCCTTAGGTAGTATTTTAAAACTACTAGGTATTTGTATATAGTATTATTGCTCTGACACCCACATACAGGGAGATTCACAAGTCGTGACGAAAAATGAAACATCATATAGTCAACGCCAAACAAAGTGGCGTGCACGTCATCAAGGTGGGTGTGTTGAAAAATTTACGTTGTTGCCAAACTTTTTGTAAAATAATAAAATTTATTATTTACATATCTAGGTTTATAAGCAATATTAACCTCAAATGAGAACAAAAATAATAGTATAATAAAATTATAGATCTGTACTTGCATAATCATTAAGTATGACAATTATTGATCAGATGACACTATGAAACTACCATATTTAATTGATAGCTTAAAGGTACTGAATAAAAATCCAAATGGGGTCCTCCAAATTTTATGCATGGTATTTATTTTACAGAATTCATACAGAAAAATGCATTCTAAAATTAGGTAAGCTACTGGTGTAAGCTTTTTCTGTACAATAAAGTTAGTCGGAGTTTCTTTCTTCAGCGCTGTCTGAATATGAATCTTCATCACTCTCAAAGTTGATTATTAAAGGTTCGATGTCTGGTCGATCAAAAATTCGTTCTCTTTCATACCATTTAAAAATTTCTTGCTCAGTATGTCGAACACTATTTTTCCACATGTCTGGGGTAACCGTTTGTAGAGCCTCGTTCCACATATCCAAACAGTCTTTTTCACTGTTACCATCTCTACCAATATGTCTGTTATAGTAACCTTTTGCTATGCCCCAAATTAACTCAATAGGGTTAAATATACAATGGTAAGGAGGCAGACGAAGAACTTTGTGCCCATGTTGTTCCGCCAATTCATCAATCACGTATATTTTAGGTGGTTTGTTTCTAAAAAAGCAGTTATTTTAAGAATAGGAATAAACAAAAGAAATATAA